ACAAATGCGATCTTACCACAGACTGCAGGGGTCTGCCGTCCTGGTTAAAGTGCCGTTCCACATATTCTGAAGACAGGAGATGACTGCAAAGGGAGCAGAGAAACCATAAATATCATGTGCAGTCAGAAAAAAAAAAAACACGCTTTAAACCACGTCTTGCTGAACAAAAATCAAAGGAACCTCATAAACATCCAGCAGCGTGAGCCACATTTGGTTTTCCCATCTTGTCATGTAACATAATAGGGGCGCTAAGTGCATTAGCTTAAGTGCGGGGAAATGCTAATGAGAACAGCTGCAGCAAATTAGGAGCAGCCACTGATCCGAGCACGCAACAAAAAATTAAAAAAGAAAGAAAGATACTGACTGATTGAGCTCCAGGTCCAGAGTGAAGGTGCGTCCGAAGGCTTCGACTTGGAAGCAGCTCTGAGCCAAGTGGACGGGCTGCAAAAACAAAACAAAACAAAACAACAGACAGGTGATGAATGACAACAACACAAGTGTGTCAGTGTGTGAAAGCCACAGAGGGATGCTGAAAACGTCTCATGAATAATTCAGCAGAATCAATAGAGCTCTGAAAGCAGCTGAGATAACGTGATTGATAAAGTCGTCATTGATCAACATCGGCTGCCAGGATTCAGGAGGGAAAAGACTCAGAGTTATGGGTGTTTAAGAGCCGCAGGTTCAGGATGGATGGATGCAGAAAAAGGAGGTTTGACAGAAGGGAGGGAGGAGGAGGAGGAGGAGGAGGAGGAGGAAACTTTCCTGTGAGGTGAGGAGACAGCAGGACGGAGAGGAGATTTACTGCAGACTGAACGCTCTGCCAGCAGCGCTGATCTCAGTCTGGACCAAGCAGGCTGCAGTGAATCACAGGTTTACAATAAAACGCATCAGAGTCCAGAAATGATTCCCTCCAGTGATACAGACGACAGATTTTCTACTACAGTCTCAGGGAGGATGAGGAACGCTGCTCATCGCAGCTCTGTCGCCATAAAATACTGTAACTGACATGTGATTTCACAGATTTTAGTTAAAGCACAGAAAATAAATCGTAAAATTATTTAAAAAAAGGATTCATTTCCATGGCAACTGTAAAAAAGGTGCTAAAAGTGCAAATAATATCCATCAAAAATCTGTAAAATTACAGTATTTTGGTATTTGCTGTACTAAAAGCAGCAAAAAGTAGCATTATTTTACAGATATTTGTCATTATTTGATTTGATATACCAACGCTAGAAGTATGGTAAACTGTTTTTACTGTTATTTTATAACTGAGTTACAGATAATAACTGTTAAAGTCAGAGGGAAAAGTATTAATTTTCATGTTAACAACAACAAAACTTCTTCTACGATGTTTGACTCTTTGCACTATAATTAAATCATTAAATCACCATTATTTTGCAGATACAGTTGAAACCACAAGTTTACATTCACTGTATAAAAAGACATAAAACCTTTTTTTTCTCACTGTCTGACATTAAATCAGACTAAATTTTCCTGTTTTAGGTCAGTTAGGATTACCAACATTTTTTCTATTTGCTAAATGGCAGAATAATGAGAGAGAGAATTTTTTTGAGAATTCTTTGCTACGTTCTTCTAAGTCATAAGTTTACATACACTGAGACTACTATGCCTTCAAACTATTTGGGAAAGCCCAGATGATGATGTCATGGCTTTGGAGGCTTTTGATTGGTTAATTGACAACATCTGAGTTCACTGGAGGCACACCTGTGGATGTATTTTAAGGCACACCTCAGACACACTGCTTCCTTTTGTGACAACATGGAAAATCTGACGAAATCAGCCAAGATATCAGGAAGAGAATTGTGGACCTCCACAGGTCTGGTTCATCCTTGGGTACAGTTTCCAGATGCCTGAAGGTTCCACATTCATCTGTTCAAACAATTACACACAAGTATAAACACCACGGGAATGTCCAGCCATCATAGCACAGGTGTTTTGCTGCAGGAGGGACTGGCGCACTTCACAAAATAGATGGCATCATGAGGAAAGAACATTAATGTGGAAATATTGAAGCAACATCTCAAGACATCAAACAGGAAGCTAAAGCTTGGGCACCAATGGGTCTTCAAATGGACAATGACCCTAAACATGCTGCCAAATTAGTTAGAAAGAGGCTTAAGGACAACATAGTCAAGGTTTTGTAGTGGCCATCACAAAGCTCTGATCTCAATCCTGTATAAAGTTTGTGGGCAGAGCTGAAAAGGTGTGTGGAGCAAGACGGCCAACAAACCTGACTCAGTTCCACCAGTTCTGTTGGAGGAATGGACCAGAATTCATCAAACTATTGTGAGAAGCTTGTGGAAGGAAAACATTTGACCCAAGTCATACAGTTTAAAGGCAAAGCTACCAAATACTAAGGAAATGTATGTAAACTTCTGACTTTGAAGAAAGTAAAAGAAAATTCTTTCTCTCATTATTCTGGCGTTTAGCAAATAGAAATAATTTTGGTAATTCTAACTGACCTAAAACAGGAAAAGTTTAGTCTGATTTAATGTCACAGTGAGAAACAAAAGGTTTTATGTCTTTTTATACAACATATGTAAATTTCTGGTTTCAACTGTATTTGATATTATTGTCACATTTTTCTTTTTATCTATTGTTAATACAGTATTCCACCGACTTATAATGTCTTTTTGTGGCTTTTCAGACCCCCTGTCAGTGGAGAATCATGTTACCTTTACAAAAGAGATTACACCATTTATCAGCACCAAGATTAAACACAGAATTGTCAGATCTTCAACTTTCTGCAGGACCTCAAGTGTTCAGCTGTGACAAGCAGAGCCAACAATAACCTTTAAGTTTAAAATCATGATATTTCAAAATGTATTTATTCTACATACCTAATTTTTAAAATAACAATCTCGTTAACAAATTTAAAAAAAAAACATTCTTGTATTTTCAGCTGGTCCATGGCTTTGAACTAATAATCCATAATGTTCCGTTGCATCAGGAAAATCGAGGCATTCATCAAAAACACTTTATTCTACAGGTCTCACTAAAAAAACACAAAAAAACCCCAAAAAACTGGAATAAATAAATTGAATTATCTGCAATCATCGACGTAACCGAGAAGCCAGTAGTGACTCAGTGTCAACCAACAGCCGCGTGACAAAAAGTCTGAACTGCAGGCAGTGTACGCAGAGGAGAGAGGAGA